ATGGACTTTATAGTAAAGTAGGAGACATCTTTTATCCAGCAGGAAAACTAAAGAAATGAGCTAAATTAGCATATTCATAGATTCTGTAATTTTATGCACCTTTTTCCTGATACTTTTTTGCAGAAACAAAACATATCAGAAACACATTGTTCCAAGCAGACTATTTGTATATGTGGTAATAAAGGTCTGGAGCGGATCTTTAACTTATGAGTTTCCTTTGTCCTTTAAACAGCACAACAAACTTCCCTCAGCAGCATTAACCTTTTACACTCAGTTTGATGTTTGCTCTGGAGGTCACAGACTGAAACTGCAGCAACTACCGTGAGGAAGCTCGCTCGTGCAAACCTTTATCCTGCGACGAAAATCAATATCAAGCAAAGTTATGACATTTACCTCATTTGAATTTAGAGAGTTTGTGGAATCCGACTTTTTGGTGTGTGACATTTTCACACAATCAATAATTGAGCGTGCTTTGCTCTCTTTCAGCACAAACAATGAGGAGGACCTGCTGTCACAGTGAAAAATGTCTCTGTTTAGTTAAAGCTCTCCGCAAAGTCAAGTGAGAATAATGAACATTTTATGAGGCTAAAAGGGACGAAGAACAGATTTTCTGGATCATTTGGTGATCATTTTAAAAACAGAGTACAGTGAATGAACATGAATGTGCACATTTCTTTTACAATTTAGTGTATAGTTCCAACATTTATAATATGAACAACAGTATACATCAGAAAAGCACAGTCAAGGCAACATTTTACACATTTCTTATGCATTGTTGTAGCCCCATCACTAAGAAATTCTTGGTTTGACTTTAATTTGTAAGCAGCTTTCTCTCAGTGGCCCCAAACTTTCATTAACCCCCCTCCTTGATATTTTAAACATCCCACAAATGTCTCCAAATGCACGCCTTATGTGGAGGGTGAATGACGAGCACTACCCCTCTGGTCACTGGCTCATAGCCTCTGTTGGATTTTGCAAAACTTCATTAGACCGTCAGTACAGCCAGACTATTTAGATATTATTTAAATCATTTTAACCTTATGCTAATGATGATTATATTTAATGATTATTTTTTAAAACCAATTTCCTCCAAATTGTATCATCTGTGGGCTTTGCTGCTGCTGGTTCCTGTTTGTGTGCCAATTAAATGAACAGGACACAACATGTTAATTAGTGAGTATTAGGGGTGTTGGTACGTGTATTTTTCAACTCTATACTGAGCCAGGCTAGTTGTTTCCCCCTGTTTCCAGACATGAGGTTGATATTCTTCTTCTCACTTAGTTTCTCACTTAACTGCTCTCTAAAGAAAGTGTAGTTCTCAAAAATACTGAACTGTCTTGTAAGATTTACTTTATCGCTGTCACACAGTGATGCATTTGCTTACAATAACTTTTGGATCAAAGGACCCTTATCCTAATGTTTTATGATGTTTATGGTTTGAATCTCTAGGGATAAAAAAGTTATGACTAGTATGTTATGTGAAGAAAACCACGGATAAAACAACCAATTGGAGGGAAACAGCCACAATATTAGGGCGTATTTGCTAGCTGATAAGATTGTAGTCGAAAGAGTTGCAAGAGTCGCATGAAGCAAATACAAATCTCTACACAAGACTGTGGTGATCATTGCTCAGGTATAATAAACTGACAGGATGATGCTCACAGTAAGCATATACAGAAGGAGCCTGTTGGATGCTGAGGTCCTGTCTGGTGATCATGGAGGCTGCAGGCACTCAGTGAGAAGCAGGACTAGTCAAGCAAGGTGACAGCTCTTGGGACGAAGCTGCTCAGGTGACAGGAGGTCCCACTGAGCGAGCGGGGGGAAGGTTTTTTGGAACAGATGGTTACCTGGGTGGGCAGGGTCACTGGCAATCCTTGCTGCTCTTTC